TGTATCCAGGATTGTTTCAGTCATTGCCCAAAGCTCATGGTCATACTTTGATCATGTTGGTTGGTAGACTGTGTGTAGATTGACCAGTAGATCAGGATCAGTTTATTCTTCAGTCTGGTGTTCATGCTGCACCAATTCACCTTGTATCCATATTACCCACTCTCCCTGATATTTGAAGTCCTTCACTTTGGGTAGTGCCTCAAACCCAAAGGAGCAATAAAACTACCAGGGTCATAAAAATATTTAAAACCTCACCACCACATTAATCCCAAGACACTGAGACTTATGCTGATTACTAACTGTAGTGCAAAGTTTTGGAATAATGCAATAACTACTGCAAGGAAACCTAAATGTATTTCTATTTTCCCACTGTGACCATTTAGAGACTCCTCAAATCATCACTTTTTTCAGGTGGATAAATGTATTGTCTTTGTGAATGTAAGACCTTTAGATACCACTGAGATGCTTGATTGTTGATAATTAGTACAGCACAGGTGTAAGCTCTGATGCTGATGATATCAATGAGGGAATCATCATCTTCTTAAATTAACCATTTAGAGAGCATAAAGTTACCTGAGGACATGGATGGTGGTCATGATGCCATGACAACAGCTTATTGAGTCAGAGGTTATATTATTATTGCTACTGTTGAATACTGAGACCAAAGTGAGACTGAAATTGTCACTTAGTCACCATAATTACATTTAGGAGTAATAGATGCATATTAGTAGTGGCTGATAGAATGCAGACAAACTCATATCTTTACTGACATGCCAGAGAAAAGAGAGAAAGAGGGACAGGTAGAGAAGGAGGGATGAATGAAGAAGATATGAAGAGCCAAGTCTGAAGAAAGAAAAAGCTGGAGTAGGAAAAGCTTCGATGGTTAGGGAAGCAAAGACCTGTTTGCATTGTCAGATCATGCAGCATTTCAGGTGATGTGGCAGCATGCTTACTGCAGGATTCATAGACAAAGATTAAACATATACAACTGAAAAACACTGTGAATGGCATCACAAGTATAAGTCGCTTTTTTCTTCAACTGGACTGACAGCTCAGCTTCAAGTTTTATTTTATTTGTCTTTTATTACACCACGAAGGTCCCACTGAGATACAAGATCTCTTCTTCCAGCAGGTCCTGGTCAAGACAGCAGCAGACAACAAGTCTAATCTGTCATCTTTCTTCAAATCCATATTAATCTATATTAAAGTCAGTGCTGATAGGAGGTACAGCTCTCAGCAGTGTAAAGCAAATTCCACTCTTTGTATGATGCATCATGACGTCAGAAAAACAAACCATCTCATAAACCTTGACCATTCCTGCAATCTTCCTCATTCAGCTCTTCATTCCAGTCCCACTACTGATTTGTAAGAGACCTGGTCATGCTCTTAAGTAAAGTTTGGACTACCCAGGACCAAATTTCCTGTTTCCTCTTTCAAACTGAGACACAGTGAACATTTAGGCAATGAATGCTTCAAATTAAGTGGAAAGAGATGAAGGTAGCAAGATGATGCAAATTCACCCTTAGCAGTGCAAGTTGCCTCAAAGAGAAATCTAAGTAATAATTCACAGTGTCATCAAAAAAGTAACAATCCGCTAATTACAATGGCTACTTAACCATCATGCAGACAGTACGTTTCATGAAATGTTATCACTAGTGAGGTGGTGAGGCTAGGAGCTTGTGGTGCTGCAAAGCATGAAGTGCTCTTCAAATATCAACTCATTGTGTGCAGCAGAAGTGGGCATAAATCTGTGCTGCAGCTACATACTGTCTGGATGTCAAAATAGAAATGACAAATGTGAAAGATGTTAAGCTAATGATGTCTTAGATTAAAAACACCTTAGTGTACCAGGAGTTCAATCTGTAACCCTGGAACATATCAGATAAGATCCTCACTGCTACTGAGCCAACATTTCTCAAGTCGCCTATGCATTGAGTGATACATGAGGTTTCATCCTTTGAATTATTCTCTGTTTCTTTCTCTCCAACAGGGGGGTATAACACTGGAATACAATGTCATCTTATTCTGAAGAATTTGGTTTTATGACTGATGCATTGGATCTTGAAGCTGACAGTGGAGTGAGCCTTTAGTTCATCCTACACTGCACTGTAGCTTTGGGTGATAAATCAATGCAATTGACTTTACAATGGACAACCAGTATCTCTGAATTAAGTTAAATTAAGTTTAGCTAAGTTTTGTTATGCTACAAACAAAATAAAATGTAAAATACAATTATTTAAAAAAAATAGTTTTGTTTGTAGCATAACATTGCACACTCACATCTTCAGCCAGTATGAGATGCATTATAAAAGGTAAAAGGATACCAAAGCTCTGACTCTGGTGAAAACAGTCTCACTGCACAGGTTTAATTTTACTACTGAGTTTTGATTCATCACTGGACAATAAGGGTGAATCAAGAGTCTCAGTTAGTATGAATGGTGCAGCTTCATCTCATGAAGACACACTACACTTAGAGACAAGTCATGCTTGGGATAGCTTAAGTTTCTACTGCCAGTCCACTGAGTTGTGTTGCCTTGTTTGGTTTAAATGTGATTTGATATTTGGGTTTACTTCTGCAGCTACATTTTTCCATGTTCCTACTGGGTCAGAAATAACCACTGTAATCTTTTCCTTCATTTGGATTTGACAGTTTCACATATTCAAAAAAGCTACACAAAATACATTTTGTGTTGAAAAATGCTTTATCAAAATTATATGATAACTATTCATTTTCTTTTACAATATTTTACTGTCATGGCTTCTCTAGTTTTCTTCTTCTACAATCAAAGCCACTTCATCAGGTTAAGTAGCTTTGTTGGAGTTACCAAGAATCTAGCACATCCTTTTCCTAAAAGAGTCGTATTGCTTGGTAGTAAGTTTTGTTTCTGAAATTTGAAATTCTGTGTAAGATCCTTTGCGCTCTGTCTTTATATCTCTGACCTAAGACATAAAAACAAAAACCTGTTTCTGCAGAATAGAATATGATCAACACGCTGCACTTCAAGTCTGCAAATCCACAAATCCAATACAATTACTTCAGCTGGGCTGCAGTTTTCTCCAGTACTAGTTCACTTGACCTCAATTTCTGAGTTCCTCCACATTCTCCTATTAATGATGCAGCAGTAAGAGTCTGGGAAAAAGCTGTAAACATGTTTGAGGCTATTTGGTTCTCTTGCAGAGTTTAGTTTTGTAGCAGACACAGATAAGAAGAGCATGGTGAAAGCAGTGAGAGCTCAGAGCCTGCTGCTCAGTGTTATGAGGGTCAGAAAGCAGATGAGAGCTGAGATGAGCCATGCCTTTGAATTAACCAAGACTATAAAATCACGAACAGCATGCTGGAGAGGACATTATGGGACTGACACAGATGCAACATTTTGTGAAGTGAGCACAAACTCTGAATTTAGATTATCTTGTGAATGCAAATTATGAAAGGATTATATTCCTTCATCAAGAAAAGTGCGTAACAACACATCTTTGTCACATGTAAAGAACAGCCAGAAATTTTGTCTGGGCAAGTGACAAAGCTTTCATCATAGTGAGGTTTAGTTAAAGAGTACCCAAGAATCCCAAAGAAAACAGTGCATGACCCTACATATACAATTACACAGTGTTCCTCCACACAGAAACACAGGAGCCTTAGTTTATGTTATGGTCAACAATCTTATTTATTTCATCTTTGTTTATAAGAAACAGATGTTCAAATGTTTCTTTCAGTTTGGTATGGCAGATGGCCTCTGCCACTGATCTAATGGAAAAAAGCCTGTCAGAACTGAAGAAAAGTCTGGATGCTTCATTGTTGCCAAGGTTACTGAATTTATCCAGAATCTTAAAGTTTGTTTGGCATGTTTTATCAAATAACCAGATATCTTCAAACGCAGCTATTCACTTTTTGGACTGATGATCCACCCAGGAGAGTTTCATGCCCATTCACTGTCAGTGAGCTTAACATGAGGCCTTTCTTAAATCTAGACTCCACCTATCTGTTCTCATATTCTGATGAGTGAGTCTATATCATGTAGCTAAGGACTTCTTATGCCTTCTTGCAGTTGTTTTGTGACTTTGGGAGCTGACTTGTGTCAATTAGAGGTATATCTGCATTTTTCATCAACCAGTGATGACAGAGGACATTAGGTCTTCAGATTTGGAATAGGCGAAAATGTACTTTTATCAGGGATGTTGGGGAACAACAGGCTGGGACAGACCAGGTGGTCAGTGCCTGTGGTAGTTACCAGCTCTGTGAAATTAGGGCTGATGTACACATCGCTACACTAGATAGATAGATAGATAGATAGATAGATAGATAGATAGATAGATAGATAGACAGAAAGATAGATAGATAGATAGATAGATAGATAGATAGATAGATAGATAGATAGATACTTTATTTATCCCCTAGGAGAAATTTATGACAATGAAAGTTGATAAGTAGTTGATAAGAAACACAGGCAGATAAATTTATTTTATATTACAGTGACCACCAAAGGTGATCATCTTGTGATATTAGCAATAACCCTGTTGCCTCAATTGCAAATTGACAAGTTCATCCATTTTAAACTCACTGTGGTCTGAATTAAGAAAGGCCCGATCACTGGACACTTGAACATCACCCATGTTGGAACATAGGGGGTTTAGTCACTCTTGCAAAAAAACAAAAAAAAGGAAAAATAATTTCTATCCAATTATGCCATTTAACTGTCACATCCTTTCCTGGTTGGGACATGTTTTTTTTTGCAGAAAGCACCTTATTAGCATTTAAGACATGCTCATTTCACAAAATTTCAGAGGAGCAGGCTGCATGGAGCAATATGAGATGAGGTGCAAGGCAGCATATACTGAAGCTGTGGGGAGGGATGCAGTTGGAGCCAAGGGGTTGCACTGTGATGTTGGGGTCCTGAGAGAGAGGCTGGGACGGGCCTGAGGCGCCTAGCAAGATGCTGGCGCGGCACGGCTCCAGTCTGCCAGGCCATGGTGTTAGGAGGGAAAAGAGTGAAAAAACCAACCTTCCCGTTGATCTGAATGGTGAGATTTGGATTGTGTTTTTGGATGGTGGGGTGCAATGATAATGGAGGGATTTAAGATAAAACAAAAAATAGAAAATAAACATCAAGAGGGGCAAAATAAGGAGTGAGAAGAAGAAGACAAGGAGAAACAGAGAGAGTAAAACGGGCAAATATCTGCTTATCCATTAATGAGTGAGGAACACACACACACACACACACACACACACACGCACACACACACACACACACACACACACGCACACACACACACACACACACACGGCACAAAAAATACAGTACAGTAGCCATAAAAGTGGATGCACAGCTGCAGATGCAGACACATTACACATACCCACTTTCACCTCCCTGTCCTTAACATTGCTTCAGCCCCTTCAGCCTGTAATTTTAGGCAGCATGAAGGGGCTGAGGCTTGCTGGCAACCAGACTACATCAAGAACACAAAGCAGACAGTGTGTTACTGACTCTGGCCGAGTTCAGCCACAGAGCCCTGAAATTAATAAGCACATAAAAATGGCCCCTGACAGGATTAGTCAAACACTCACCTTGAAATGTGTACTTCTCCTAACTGAGAACAGTTTAATTTCTATGGAGTAACACTTGTAAGTTAATACTGCGTTAAATGAGACTGTCCTGTTGGTCCTCTTAGTCACAAACTGATGTGTGATCTGGCAAAAGACTACATTTAGAAAGACTACATTCATCTGTAAGACAGCACTTGATTTTCATTAAGATGTTTAAATACATTTTATCTACTCATCTTCCGATTCCCATGCCGTGGATTAATTAATTTTCCCTCTGGAACTCGCAGTTCATATACACCATATACCAGAAGGTCGGTGCAAATAACAACAATATCTGCAGTTCCTGACTTTGCTGAGATCCTATAAAAACAATTCTCAGTGTACCAAAGCTGAGCATCTATATGTAAGATTACGTTTGAACTGCAGTGAGCATCAGGCTGTGTCATCATAAATCTACTGAGTCCTCTAATAGGTGACATTGATCTCTAACCCTGACCTCCCTTACCCTTCAGCTCCCTTCAAGTCCTCTGACCTAAGCTAAGTGCAGATACCTGCTTGGCAAAGCTCCATTGGCTTAACAGTGTTTTAAAGGATGGAATTATTTGAGGGTCTGTAGATGTTTTAGTCTGCTCCCTGCTGGTAGGTCAGGCTTACTCTTGCTATTGGATCAGTGTCATGCAGGTTAGATGGTTTCTCAAAAACAAAGACTGACTTATTTTTAAGACTAAAAAGTTATCCTACAATCAGTCACGCCCCCTGACCACTGGTCTCAGCCACAGCTGCCTGAATTCACCAAATCAATGTGGTATCATCTAAATTTACTCAGTCTGAAATTCCCTCTGTGTTTCTGTGTCATCTCTTAGCTGGGCAGCCTCTGGGACAATATCTCTTTTGAATATGAATAACAACATTCACAAACATCCTCTCAACTTTAAATACTCCCTCATACGATCGGTAGACAAGGTGCAAACAAAGCGAAGCACATGAAACAATGAAAAGCAGCAGCCTTCATATGTAGCTAGAAAGATAAGCATTGGACAGATGAACAGAAACATATACAGTGTGTGTAGAGTGGAAGAGGGACTGTGGACCTGACAACAAATACAGAGAAGGAAAAGACAAGAGAAACTAAAAGAATGTGTAGAAAAAAAAGACACGCACACACACACACACACACACACACACACACACACACACACACACACACACACACACACACACACACTTTGGCAACATATGGCAGGTTGCACTGCTCAGAAGCCACACTGAGAAATGAAATAAGCTACCAGCACACCTGGAAATGTTAAAGGGTAAAACAACACAGACAGGAACCTTGGAAAGAGAAGCAGAGATGACAAACCATGTACTTCATCATCAAACTCTGTTGGCTACAGCTCTGTTTGGTTTAGTGGAGGATACTTCTTATAAAAAACATGACAGATTAACTATCTTTATTTATGACTACTACAATACTTTCCATTAACTTTAATGAACAGGTTTTGTTTTTTAGTTCTAAAAGGCAATTTTTTATCTCAAGAGTGAGCACTGGGCGATCTGTTATTGTTACTCATACAGCATGCACACATGCTTGCACACGTGCTTACACACATGTGAGTATTGTATTAAGATACACATGAAAAAATCAAGACCTCATTTTAATCAGATTCTATGACTCTGTAAGTATGACGCTTTAGGGCTGAGACAAGAGTACACATGAGATCTGTCACCAGATTTATGAGAAATGTTCAAAACAGTAGAGAATATTCAGCACTGGCTTTGACATTATTTTTTTGACTACATCAAAGAGCATTGTCAGTGGAAACATCAAATGAACAAGAGATTAAAGTAGTAATGAATAACCACCATTTTTTGAAAATAGCCTTTGAGAACCTGATATTGGTTGAGGCTAATTGAGGTGTTTGTTGACAAGGCCAACTTATGAGACACCCCAAGGCTCGCTTTAACCTTGCTAGCTTTTGTTGCAGCACATTCAGCCGACTCAAGCTTTCAGGGGAATTTCCTGCCTGTTTTCTCCCACATGGGACATATGTGAAGGTGTAAGCTTGTCTTTGTGACAAGACTCCACATGTAAACCTCCACTTCCCCAAAACAAAGGCGGAAAACTGCAGCCAACCTCTCTTTCACCCCTGAGGAGTCACCCCTACCCTCCCGTCACCACTGAGGTTAGGCAAGTCAAATAAACTAACAAGGCAGTGGAACAAAATACATAAATCATCCCCAGGAGACAAAGACAGGGAGACAGAGAGCACAGGAAGTGACAGTGTGAAAGCTGGACAAGCATCAACAAGTTTGATTTTCTCTGCAGCTCAATCCAGGGAGCCAGTTTCCTTACTAGCAGTGGTACAGTGGAGGTGACGAGAGAAGACCTTACTGCTGGAGGTGGTGACCTGAATGGCAGCAGGGAGGTGACAGTTGGGGTCAAGAGAGATCTTACCTCGAACATACAGGTTAGCCGGAGCCGAGTAGCGAGTCCCGGCACCGTTGACTGCCACACACTCGTACTTGCCCTGGTCTGACTCCTCGCTGTTCTCAATCTGAAGTGCTCCTGGTGAGGGAGGCCAAAATGTCACCATTCAGGTCTGCACAAACACATTCAATACAACACACACAGACATGGTGGCACAGTAAACTGATTCAGACACACTAACACTAGTCCTGCAACACCTCTCTGTACAGATACTTGGCAAAATCAACCCAAACCGGATCCTGTAATGTTTCCTTTCTATACATATAAGAAGAGAAACTTATACTCTATCTAATCATTTATGGCAATGACCAAAAATGATTAGGCTCATTCAAGATGACCCAGGACTTGTTGTAGTGTCACACTAACACTGTCAATGACTCATCTCATCAGAGCAACAAGGCTGCAGGTCAGAACCAGGTGAAACAGCTGCTCTGCACTGCTTAAAGGAAGTGACGGTATTCTAAATGTTTCTAGTTATTGCACTGAGTGACATCTTCATTTATTACAATGATCACAGGCAGCGTAGGTCATTATTTTTTCATTATTTTTTTCGGCATGAGTGCACTAGTGTGTATTAATCCATCACTAATAATTGTCTCACAGCTGCTGGCATGGCTGTAGAATGGTTAGTTTAGTTTTAGTCTAGTTGGACATTATTTAGATTTTTTTGATTAAACTTAGTATTCATCAGGTATTATTTAAGCTTCACATCTTCATGAGGAATCACTGGACCTTGGGCTCAGAGCCACAGACAGGGTAAGAAAATCAGAAAGAAGCATGATAAGAGCTCAACAAATGAAGCTACACCTCCTCAGGACATCATGTTGCTGTGAGGATGATGCAGTATAAAATATGAAACACCACTTTTGCTGAGAAGAAAGTTGAGAAGGAAGCAGTGATTTACAGAAAAAATCTCAGTAGTAGCCTGGAATCATCTCTTCCTTTCAGGGTCCACTGTTTCCAGATGTTCAGATCTGAACAGTATTTAATTTTCAACACTAAGTACTCAACATTGATTCAATTTCGAAATTTGATATTCAGTTGATAATATGATTTGATAATTATTTGCTTCATACACTTGTGCTGGTCATTGTATAAAACAGTTGGTAGTTGCTATATGTGATATTGTGATTTTACCACGTGGATCAAAGATAAAAGAAATTGAAACTGTTAGCAAAGTGTCTAAACTCTGTCTCAATGCATATAGACACATAAAATGTAATGTTGATTACTTGTTTAAATCCAAGTTAAGTAATAACTTAGACCCCCTTTATTGGTCTAAGCCTTTAGTGCAACACTTGTGCTATACTTGTGTTTCCATTGGATAGACCCTTTCTCCCCCACCTCCACAAAGCACCTTTAATGTTCACTTAAGTTGTGGTTTGAAACTTTCATTTCAGGGAAAGAACATGTAAAACATAACTTACCTGAAACCATTTGGTCACATCAACTTCATAGTATTTACACAAACATTTAATATTCAATTGTCAGTACAGAGATTAGGTTTGAGATCGAGAATATGAGTGTATCTGTGGTGATTATGCAATATTATATATTGACTATGAATGTGACACACATCATGCAGTTTTGCAGTGGACAATAAGAAATGTGACAAATAAAATGTTAACATGTACATATTTCAGAATACAATCCTGAAATGCAACATGGGATGGGTGTGTATCACAATGTTCAGTGCTAGTTAAAGAAAAAAAAAAATCAAGCAGTCGAAATAATATGTGTGTAGTCACATCCCTTGTGGGTCTCTTGCAGACAGTGAGCCTAGAGATGAAGGAGGAGCAACCTCCATGCAGTCAAAAAAGGCCATGCTCGCGCACACACACACATACATACACACACACACACACACAGACACACACAGCCTTTCTCCTACATATCAAAAAACAATCTCAAAATGTCCACGAGACTGTAGACCGATCCTCACACTGCTGCTGAAGTCACTGAATCTCTCTATTTCTGTATTTCCACTTTTCCATTTTGTGACATTGCCTTTCTCACTGCTCATTCAGAATAGTTCTGAAAATGATTCATTCTCTCTTGACAGTTGGAAAAGTTGCTGGTGATCATTTGCTCTGACCTCTTGGCATGAAAAAGATCAGTGCTGCTGCAAAAGGTGTGATTACTTACAGATGGAGACTATGAAGCCCCAAACAAAATGTTACTTCCAAAACTTCCTCTGCCCTTCGGACATTGAGCTTTCAATAACGGTGCATGCGTTCCCTCTCTGCAGCTTCCAAGGACAGCTTGCAGACAGAGCTCAAACTTTTATACCTTCATGACACAAAGTTTGTCATCTACGAACTATTAAGTGGGAAGTTATCATGTATGCTGATGGGCTCATTTCCCTGATATGGCTCACTGGCCTAGGCAGTGAAATCTAGGAGAACTGACAGCGACACGTTAAAGTAGAAAAGGAATGGGATGCCACAGTATATTGGATCTGTGGCATCCCGGATATACAGGACCTTTATTTTTATTTATTAACAGCCTGTTGGCATTGTTGGACTTCCATGTTGACTGATAGTAATGTTCATGAAGCAGCTGATGCTGTAAGGCTGTGTTTGACTTGGTATAGAGTGCTTTCACATTTAATATGTTTGATGCAGTTCATCGTGATGGTTTGTTTAGGCTGGTGTGAAACTCTAGACCTAACTGAGACCACCTTAAAATGTGGGTTTAGGTCCACTTCTAATTTGATCCTTTTTAGTGTGAAACCAAAGCAAATCAACCTACTGTCTGCTGATTGTGGCAAGTGTCAACAAAGTTTGACACTTTGACACAACATTGGGTAACCATGGTAACACATGTATGTGTGTATATACACATTATATATATGTATATATATATATATATATATATATATATATATACATATATATATATATATATATACAGTGTGTTACTGCAGCAACTGTTTGTCTTGTTACTGTTAATAACAATGTGGGTTGTAGGTTTCCCAGCACTGCGTTTACACTGTGAGGGTGAGCTCTTCCTTTCAAAGAGCAGGTTTATGGTAATGTTGGATAAACCTAATGTGACACATTCAACTAAAGTCACATTATCAGCTTCTTGTGAACCCTAGACCACCATTTTGAGCTGAAGCAGACACTTTTCAGAATTGGGTGTTTAAATTTGGGTTGAACACCAAACATGTTAAGTGTGAACACAATCAAAATGAGTACTTGGCTATGGCTAGCTAGTAGACATAATTCATGTGTGTTGCCTGGTTTCCTAATGAAATCATTTTTCAAATGAAAATACTTTTTGTTTGTTTGATTATATTCCATATTATATAGCAGGTGTGTAGCTGCCTCTTGTTTTTCTCTATACACACTGAAAGCTTCTGTGCTGAAAGCAGAGAAAGTGTCGGAGCAGGCGAAGAGGCCAGAGGCCTGGAAATGTGGACACAGTGAGGTGACAGGAGGAGGAGGACGGAGGTGATGGAGAGGAGGTAGCAGTGAGGAGGATAAGTAGACATTTTTTGTACCCAGCATTCTTACCTCTGATTGGTGTACCACCTGGTGAGGTAATTTGAATGCAAATAAGATTAGAGATAACCATTAGTTTAAAGAGAAGAGAAGAAAAAGTGAAACAGAGAAAGACAAGAATGGCAGGAGAGCAAAGAGAGGAAAAACAGCAGTGACAAGAGCGACTGCTATTCTCACCCTGTTTAAAAAAACTCATCTGTAATTATGTAAGGTATTATTTAATGTTGACTGAGTCAAAGCTGAGAGAGAAGAATAAGCTTAATGATTATTTAAAAAAAAAAAAAAACATTTCATAAATGGCAGCTGTGGAAATGTATCTTTGATGAAAGCTATTTTCTTTAGTACAAATTTGTATTATTTTCCACCCAAGCTCTGGATAAGCAAAAAAATGTTTCATATATCATACCCGACCTATAACTGCCAGTCTTTTATTTGTGCATATAGATATACTTTACAGATTATTTGCATTATACAACTGGCTATTTACTCCATGGAGCTGGCATCCTGCTATGACAGTAAAGCTACTTATTCCCCACACCTTCATCAGTGCTGGAGCCCTATCAAGCTCTAAAATCAGTATACTATAGATGTATTTTTATTTGGGTCATCTAAACCATTGTCAGCATTTTTCCTATGTACTATTTAGGGCTGAACGATTTGAGGAAAATATATAATTGCAACCACTTGCAATTTTATTTTAACAATTATCTAGAAGTTAAATATAAAAATGAGGTTTAAAAAGTTATTATTATTATGATAGGCCTACCAAATGTATCTTGTTTCTATGTGTAACCACATAAAATAATGCAGCTGCTTGTTGTAGAAATACATTTATTGATAACAGCTACATACTTTGTCACTTATAGTAATGATTACAAGCGCGTACTGTTTACCTGCTTTGGCTAAAATTAAACCTCATGAACTGATAGAAAAGACAGTTTGAGCCCCAGAATCCTGGAGGTGCTGATCAGCATTCCTGTGCCTTGGAAATTATATTTACACAGTTCTGCATGTGCAACAGCAAATACATTTTAAAGGAAAAGCTGTTGCAGCTGGATTACATGGATACATTATTTCCTCACAAAATGAGTCAGTTTTGTAAAATCACAAGTCACAAATACGTTGATACTAAACATGTCAATGAGATGTTCATAGACAACATGTTTGTTTTCTGACAAAATATCTGATCTTACAGCACGACATCCACCTGTAGTGACACCAGCTTTATTAAATGGTTTCTGGTTCTGTTCAGACTCTCACAGCTCTTGTAAATAAGCAATTACCTTTGTGAGCACAACTTAATTGGGAAAACAATTAAATACTATATACATTGCTATACATATGCTTCTGACTAACCAGCTGTTTGTCATGCCTCATGGCAACTAGTCTGAAACAGATGTTCAGTGGGAGGAGCTATTTTGGATGCCCCTGGGTCCAAAAAAATACAAGTCCCATTCATTTTGAGACAGCTGAAGCACTTTTATGGCTTAGATGGGCATGAAACTCTCTTGGTTACATTATCAGTACAAAAGATGAACAACTGTGTTTCAACATATCTTTATTTGTGCTAAAAAATAATCAGCTTCTGTCAATAACCATCCAGCCACTGATCTTAAAAGTCTGTTCCATTCACGACTAACAGACAGTGGAAGATCAGGATTATATCGTATCGTATCGTATCGTCGTCTCCCACTTATCCGGATCTGGGTCGCGGGGGCAGCAGCCTCAACAGAGAGGTCCAGACGGCCCTCTCCCCGGCCACTTCCATCAGTTCCTCCGGGAGAATCCCGAGGCGTTCCAAGGCCAGCTGAGAGATATAATCCCTCCAGCGTGTCCTTGGTCGACCTCGAGGTCTCCTCCCGTTGGGACATGCCCGAAACACCTCCCTGGGGAGGCGTCCAGGAGGCATCCTCACCAGATGCCCGAACCACCTCAGCTGGCTCCTCTCGACATGGAGGAGCAGCGGCTCTACTCCGAGTCCCTCCCGGATGACCGAGCTCCTCACCCTATCTCTAAGGCTGAGCCCGGCCACCCTGCGGAGGAAACTCATTTCGGCCGCTTGTACTCGCGATCTCGTTCTTTCAGTCATTACCCAAAGCTCATGACCATAGGTGAGGATCGGAACGTAGATCGACCGGAAAATTGAGAGCTTCACCTTCCGGCTTAGCTCCCTCTTCCCCACAACGGACCGATTCAGCGTCCGCATCACTGCTGACGCGGCCCGATTCCGCCTGTCGATCTCCCGTTCCCTCCTACCCTCACTCGTGAACAAGATCCCGAGATACTTAAACTCCTCCACTTGAGGCAAAGCCTCCCCCCCCGACCCGAAGCGGGCAATCCACCCGTTTCCGGCTGAGAACCATGACCTCAGACTTGGAGATGCTGATCTTCATCCCAGCCGTTTCACACTCGGCCGCAAACTGCCCAAGCAAGAGCTGAAGGTCGGCGTTCGATGAAGCTAGGAGGACCACATCATCCGCAAAAAGCAGAGATGAGATCCTCCCGCCACCGAAACCAAACCCGTCCACCACCCGGCTGCGCCTAGAAATTCTGTCCATAAAAGTTATGAACAAAACCGGTGACAAAGGGCAGCCCTGGCGGAGTCCAACCCTCACCGGGAACAGGTCCGACTTACTGCCAGCTACGCGAACCAGACTCACACTCCTTTGGTACAGGGATTTAATGGCCACTAACAAGGGGCCATCCACCCCATACTCCCGGAGTGCCCCCCACAGGGAGCCCCTAGGAACACGGTCGTAAGCCTTCTCCAAATCCACAAAAAACATGTGGACTGGATTGGCAAACTCCCATGCTCCCTCCAGCACCCTAGCGAGGATAAAGAGCTGGTCCACAGTTCCACGCCCAGGACGAAAAACCACATTGCTCCTCCTCAATCTGAGGTTCAACTATCGATCGGACCCTCTTTTCCAGTACCCTGGTATAGACCTTACCAGGGAGGCTGAGGAGTGTAATTCCACGGTAGTTGGAACACACCCTCTGGTCACCCTTCTTAAAGATGGGGACCACCACCCCGGTTTGCCACTCCAAAGGCACTGCCCCCGATGTCCACGCAATGTTGCAGAGGCGTGTCAACCAAGACAGCCCTACAACATCCAGAGCCTTGAGATACCCAGGGCGGATCTCATCAACCCCCGGGGCTCTGCCACCGCGCAGTTGTTTCACTACGTCGGCGACTTCTGCCCCGGAGATTAGATCATCCATCCCCAGGTCTCTTGGCTCTGTTTCCTCTACGGAATACGTGTTGGTGGGATTGAGGAGCTCCTCAAAGTATTCCTTCCACCGTCCTACTATATCCTCAGTTGACGTCAGCAGCTCCCCGCCCCCACTGTAAACAGTGTGAGCGAGTTGCCGCCTTCCCCCCCTGAGGCGCCGGACGGTTTGCCAGAACCTTTTTGGAGCCGATCGATAGTCTTCCTCCATTGTCTCACCGAACTCCTCCCACGTCCGAGTTTTTGCCTCAGCAACTGCCGCGGCTGCACTCCGCTTGGCCCGCCGGTACCAGTCAGCTGATTCCTGAGACCCACAGGCCAACCACGCCCTGTAGGCCTCCTTCTTCAGCCTGACGGCTTCCCCCACCGCCGGTGTCCACCAGCGGGTACGGGGGTTACCGCCACGACTGGCCCCAGCTACCTTGCGGCCGCAGCTTGCAACAGCCGCCTCAACAATAGCAGAGCGGAACAAGGCCCATTCGGACTCAATGTCCCCCACTGCCCTCGGGACGCGGTCGAAACTCTGCCGGAGGTGTGCGTTGAAAATCATCTTGACGGGTTCTTCCGCCAGGTTTTCCCAGCAGACCCTCACAACCCGTTTGGGCCTGCCAGGTCTGCGCGGCGTCTTCCCCCGCCATCTGATCCAACTCATCACCAGGTGGTGGTCGGTTGACAACTCTGCTCCTCTCTTTACCCGAGTGTCCAAAACATGCGGCCGCAGGTCTGATGATACGACTACAAAGTCGATCATAGACCTGCGACCTAGGGTGTCCTGGTGCCAAGTGCACCTGTGGACATCCTTATGTTTGAACATGGTGTTAGTTATGGCCAAGCTGTGACTAGCACAGAAGTCCAATAACTGAACGCCGCTCGGGTTCAGATCGGGCAGGCCGTTCCTCCCCACCACACCCTTCCAGGTCACGCTGTCATTGCCCACGTGAGCGTTGAAGTCTCCCAGTAGGACAATGGAGTCCCCTTTCGGGGCACTTTCCAGCACCCGTCCCAAGGACTCCAAAAAGGGCGGGTAGTCTGAACTGCTGTTCGGTGCATAAGCACTGACAACAGTCAGAACCCGATCCCTGACCCGAAGGCACAGGGACGCAACATTGGGTAAACTCCAATGTACAGGCAGAGAGCCTGGGGGACACCAAAAAGCCCACCCCGGCCCTCCGCCTCTCACCCGGAGCAACTCCAGCAAAGAGGAGAGACCAGCCCCTCTCAAGGACTTGGGTTCCGGAGCCGACGCTATGTGTCGAGGTGAGGCCGACTATATCTAGCCGGTATCGCTCGACCTCTTCCACAAGCTCCCGCTCCTTCCCCGCCAGAGAGGTGACGTTCCATGTTCCAAAAACCATTTTCCGTAACCGAGGATCGGACCGCCAAGGCCCCCGCCTTGGTCTGCTGCCCAATCCACAATGCACCAGATCCCTCTGACTCTTCCTGCAGGTGGTGAGCCCACTGGGAGACGAACCCATGTAGCCGGTTCGGGCTGGGCCCGGCCAGGCCCCATGGGCTAAGGCCCGGCCACCAGGCGCTCGTCCACGGGCCCCAACCCCAGGCCTGGCTCCAGGGCGGGGCCCCGGTGTCCCTCCGGGCCGGGTACTCGGGTTCTTGATAGTATTTATCATTAGGATCTTCTGAACCGTTCTTCGTCTGGCCCTTCACCTAAGACCAATCTGCCTTGGGAGACCCTACCAGGGGCAAAATGCCCCCGACAACATAGCTCCTAGGGTCATTAGGGCTCTCAAACTCCTCCACCACGGTAAGGTGACGGTTCAAGGAGGAGCTCAGGATTATAGTGCTAAGAAAATTGACCATACAAGCATCTTAAATCTTATCACTTTTGAATTCACAACTGCTCTGAGGCCCTGTTCAGACCTGTTCAGACCAGTTCAGACCAGATATTAACATCTGTCTCATGTGATCCAATCACAAGTGGTCAGCTCTAAGTTCAGGTGTGAACGCACCTAAAACGCATTGAAGACACATTTGAGATCCGATCACTCAGACAACATAGGACAACAGAGGTCATTGGAGGAGCACCTACGTCCTCTGATAGATCTCCACTGATGTCCTCTGACACAGTCTGGGTAGGTTTCATCATGAACCCAAAATATTTTACTATTTTAGATGGATAAAGCCTTATTTCATTGTAGAGCTGTGAGCAGAGCAATGATTCACTCAACCCCTTTGCATAGCAACAGCTGCTGAACCTGGTGAATATTTAAAGTTGTCCACCAAACTGACAGAAAACCCCTAATTTGGCAGAAAAAATTAAAATGATTAAAGCTGGTATGTGGCTGATATCATAATCCTGTAACATTATCTAGATGAGTTTCATGTTTTTAGTTGTAGATATTGATTAAAAAAATTTAAAAGGGAAATACACAGTGCTGAAAAACACTTGCACTTGAATTAAAAAAGTCTGCTCTTTCTATCAAACCAAATTATACCAAATGGGTTTCCTTCAACAAAGCCATCTTTGGCCGAGTCTATAGTCTGGACACCTGCATGCAAAGAGAAGGCCTACATCAAACAGAAAAATCTGGTCAACTTTTACAGTTTGTTTAGGTACTTAATTCAAATTGGAGCTCTCATGATTTGAAAATTAAACTCAGATCATGATTTAATAATGATTCATCGTTCAGCCCTAGTAATATACATTTTACTGAGACAGTAGTAGCATTCCCTCCTTAATCCATTTGCCATTTGGGCATATCAGGACATGTGCAGGAAACAGAAGAGAGAGGGATGGTTACTATGCAGATGCCAGTGATCTGGATAATAAACCAAGCTGCTCTTGAGTCAACAGGACGACAAAGAACTGTCAGATAGGTGGTGAGAGAAAGCAGAAGGGGGAGGCCCTGGAAGCTGTGTGTCCCCTGTGGTGATGAAGGGCACATCAGCAGCTTTCAGAGGGCCAGGCTGTATGAGCCCTGCCATGACTTTCTTTCACAGCTGTCTGACAGCTAAATGAAACCCACGCCACTTGAGCGAGAAATTAGTCATGACAGGTTTTGGGGTTAATTGTGAAAAATAATAGTACTTTATTATATTTTCACAATGTCAGGGCTGGAGGGATTTTTCCTGTAGTTGTGTCCATCAAAACAGGATGTAGAGAACATCATAGCTATTGAGTCACTGGATTAAACTGATGGTGCCAGATGCACCAGTGGCTTTCTGCTCGTCAGTTTTGCTCTTTCCAAGCAGAACTAATGAAATCAAAACAAAATCCTATCACATGGAAATCTGATAGGTTATTGATCGTTTACATCACTATCAGTTCTCTCGTCATGGGGAGTAGTACTCAGCCTATAAAGACAGCAGTATAATGTTTCCTATGTTTCTGGAGATGCAGTCTGACCACATAACCCTGACAATGTCATCATACTGTCATCAGTATTATCTACTGTAGGCCCAAGCTTAATTTTAACAGTAAGCCTTTATCTTAAACTGAGAGGATGGAGTCTAAAAATGTGATCTTTTTCCAAGAAAGGTTCTGAAAAAATGTATTTTCTGATTTACTTTTATTTCCTAATTTATTTTGTAATTTTGTCCAGTAAATTGAATTTCTGTCACCCTGTACATCAATCCATTTATGTTCACACATTCTAAAACTCACACCTAATGGAAGTATATTAGGCTAAAACAAGAAAATCACTAACTGAGGTCAACATCCTCAGCGCAAATACACACACTAGGAACTTGACGCACATTTGTGGATAAAAGACAGAATATATCTTCCTGTGCTGCTTCGATTTTGACCATTAATGACTGTTGAGTCTCCAAATATTTTTGAACTGCAGTGCTATATTACTGAAGTTCCACTTTGACCACCAATGACTAATAAGTAATTCAGCTAGGACCATCTTTGTCATACTTTGTTTACATATTGGCCACTGGAGTTGCTTTCTGAACTAAAAAAAAGTCTTCAGTGCTACTTGTGGTCTTGCTGTGACCAGTGTAAACATGCATATATTACTGTGTGTGATCATCTGGTTGCTAAATCAAGGACTTAAAGTTTAGCTCCAGTGTTGTTAACCACAGAGTCCTGATGCATTAATCCTCTTCCCAATATCCTTGGACAATCAGATCGTCAGACCAGCAGTTACATTGCTCATTGGCTGAACATCTCAAGATTCAGTACAAAGTGTAGTTTTCAGAGCAAAGCTATTAGTGTTTCTTAATGGATCAAACTCATTTAATATGATATGATTATAATTCATGAGCAAATCTACTCTACAAAAAAATCTACTCCTCTACATAATGATTTCTATAATATCAAATAAATGAAATAATTCTGGAGTGCTGACTTTACATACAGCTATATATTCAACTTGTGTGGAACAAGATGACTCTGTTTTATTAAATGAAGTCAGCCATCTGTGCTTGGCTGCTGTGGGACTGCACGTGACGAAAAGCCCTATGAGCCAAACTGAAACAAATTGCCATGCTGTTCAGTTAATGATACATGGCATGTTTGGCCTTACCTAGGGCCCTGCCTGTAACTTTGGAAAATCCTTGGAGTGGACTTCAAAGCAAGTGATATCCTAGTGCCTGTCTCTCAGCCGTTCCTCTCTGCTTGTGTTGGGAAGATAGCAACCACAGGAGGGGCCCTGGGCCCTCAGTGATTGGAAATCAGCTTCTTACCCTTGCTGGAAGGGCTGTCAAGAAAGTGTGGCCTTGGACAGCCATTACAGAGTTATGTAGGTGCTTGCTATGTAGTTTTTGGGGTGAGAGAGAGGGCACAGGAAGTGACAGAAAAGGCAGCTGACACGTTGTGTGGAGGTCGGCTATTCAGTTAGCTGCGATCCAGCTCTGCTGTGAGCTGCTGGAGCTAGTTTTGTGGAGAAAGATGCCCTATCTGCTCCACTGGATGCTGGACGCCCCCTCACAAAGCTGCTTTCCATGGCTGCCTCTGTGTTAACACTAACCACTGTCTGTGGTGTATTCAGCACTGTTGGCACACCAATATTCCAGATGCTGCTCAGGTAGTTACTGAAATCTATTATGTCATGCTCAAAGTGGGGAACATTTACTTCCATCAATCAATGTTTTTGCTCTCTGAAAAAATTGTGAGCGAAATCAACCTTCAACCTTTGGTGGAAATTATGCAATTTATTCTTTGTGTATCAGTCCTCCTCAACCTGTTAAATGAGTGTATGGTCTCATGTGTGTGTATGTATGTAGAATAAAAATATGATCATTTTGCTGTGGGTTTCATATGTGTTGTGGCCTTGATTTTCTAAATGTTCTTTACTATGTTTGTCTTTTTCTAAGACATGCATTTACACTTGATAAAACATCACTGCTTGAAATCATATAACCTCATACAGGATCAAATATTTTTCAGCATTACGGTGTGATTCCTCAGGCTGGATACAGTTTGAAATGTTTTAATGCTAATGCTTAATACACTCCCTGAATTTCAGAGATGTTACCTTAATTTGAGAAATATAAACTTAACTGAACAACTAAAACTTAACTGACAACAATTTTCAACAGAACTTGACTTGACCGGACATTTGATTTGATACCTGACAGTTTTTTATACTGGACTTGTTTAATTTTTTAAAAAAGTACTGATGTTTGATACCCAGCCCTAGTTACTGTAAATATAAGTGACTGTCTTCAGACAGAACTGGCAGGTTTCACATTTAAGTGTTATGAATATACATTTATTGCCATGATGTGTGACTTGCTACAAATCTCACCCAAATTCCACCTGTGTCATATTTCTGAGTTGAGCCACTAACACCTGAAGTTGTGGACATAGATCTGTTGACATGATTACTTTACCTGAACGCAGCTGTTTTATGCGCCCATTGCTGCTGCCGATGTCCACAGGAAGAAAGTCTTTGAACCAGTAGATCTCTGGGTCAGGAAAGCCACTAGCTGCACACAGCATCGTTGCAGTACGTGTTCTCTCCACAACCTTTAGCTGGGGCCCCATGTCTATGGTGGGGAAACCATGAGGGATCTGGTCCTCTGTGACAAACACAAACAGACAAACAAACATTGGCACTCTGACAGCTGGACATGATAAGTGGATGATGACATTTAAGACCATGTGGTGTGTGATTTTCCTGTTCATCCCACAGCCTTGAGCTTGTGAAGTCCCCCCATGAAATTCAAAATAGTAAAATCCAGCTGTAATGTAAATATTTCTGGGTCACTGCATGACTAATCCCACTATAGAATTTATGGTCATGGATCTATGTGAACAAGAGAGAGGGTGATGCAGAGTGAAATGTATTCTGACTGAGAAAAGCCCTGACCATGTTCACATAATCTGAAACGTAGTGTGGGCAAATGCCAGTCCTACTGAATTATGGGTGAAACATGGTAGAATCATATGCTGAAAATCCTATTCCACACCTCTGTCCATGCTGCTGAGAAGAGACAGAGTAACAGCCAAGGTGTCAACACCGCTCCTACCCTCCCATATATTACACATGATTTATGGTCACAACCAATCAATAAGGGCAAAGATTAATGTGCTGTTTATAAAAACATAATAGTATGTGCTATTTACATATATAAAGGATTCACATATTAAATGTATGTTACACCTACAGTGTATTGTACCTGTACTGTTCTGCCTCAGACTCTGGACTGGTCCCAAACTGACCCCCAGCCCTTAAAAATCACATCTCACTCTGTATGAAGTTAATAGCTGCAGAGGGATCCCCAAATTCATAATCTCTTCTGTGTTGTTTTACTTCCTGTTGTTGTATAGTTTCCCTGATATTTCACCTGTGTCCAATTATTCCTGTCTACCTTATGTATTTAGTCTTTGTTCTCCCAGTCGTCTTTATCAGTTTGTCTGTTCAGTTTCCCTTGTGAGTCCTTGTATTTCTGTTAGTAACCCTTTCATGTTCCTGAGTTTTTGCCTGTGTTAATGAACTTTGGACTCCTTGCCACCCGAGATTGGATTGTTTCTGCATAGATGTAAGACTTTTGTTTTTTCAATTTTGCATAAATCTTTGAACTATACCAGCTCTGCCTCTGAGTTAGTGATGGGAATTCCGGCTCTTTGTGGAGAGCCGGCTCTTTTGGCTCGGCTCACTAAAAAGAGCCGACTCTTTCGGCTCCCAAGTGGGAGATTGGGAGCCAGATTTTTTGTTACTTAAATTAATTTATTACCAAATTATGTGTAAAATGAATAACTAATGTAAAAAAACATAAAATATAACATATGTATAGTATGTATATGGCTTTATTAATAAGCTTAACATAACTTAACATATACATAAATAAATTTTAAATAAAAAAGACCCATTTTAATTTGTGAAAAAACACAAAATCAACTAAACATCACTCAACAAAATATAAATTAAAATGTCCAACCATGTACAGTGAAAAACAAAACACAAAATGCGAGTGTCTGTAACCCCTCTCCTCCCCCCTCCTGCTCAGTGTAGTCACACAGACGCTGCCACAGCCACATATGTTGACCAATGCAGCTTTAAAAGATAATTAAAAAAAAAAAAAAAATCGCTCTTGATCGGGAGCCGGCTCTCGCAATCGCGAGCCGGCTCCCGTCGTTCACTTCAAAGAGCCGGCTCTAATCCAGCTCTCGTTCGCGACCGACCCATCACTACTCTGAGTCTTCATTTGGGTCCTGAAATCCTAAAACATAACAGCACAAACTGACCAAGATGAACCCAGCAGACCTAAAGATTTCCCAGGAGGAACTTAACTGGGTGCAACGCTGCGTCTAAGGACTTATCGTGAACTGGTTTAAGGCCCCTAGCATCAAGCAGAAAGAAGTAGCTCAGGTGTTGACTCAAAATCTTGTTTTGTTCAAACCCTGGCTTTTGAAATGCATGACCTGGCTGGTATTATGGCCCACTCTACTTTGCTTCAGCCTGCCACTTCCTCATCCTGTTCTACCATGCTGCCTGCTTCTTAGTCGGCAAGTATTCAGCCTGCTAGCCTCCCGTCAGCTTCTCATTCAGCTAGCCTCCAGCCAGCACTCCAATTGGCTAGCTCCAGGCCTGCTAGCCTACAGCATGTTTCCCAGCCATGCTAACACTAGTTCTCGTAGCTTCCAGGTTGCATCCAAGCCAGTTCTGCAATCTGCCTCCCTGTCAGCTAGCCTCTAGTTGGCTACCTCGCAGTCTGTCATCCAGTTGGGTAGCATTTGGCCTGCTAGCCTCCAGTCTGCCTCCAGTCTTGCTGGCCACCCCATGCTAGCCTTCAGCCGGCACCTAAGCCTGCCCTCCAGTCATGCTGGCCACCGCAAGCTAGCCTTCAGCCGGCACCTAAGCCTGCCCTCCAGTCAATTTGGCTTGATTTTGTGGAGCCTGCAGCCTTCCAGTCCCAAGCCAGCAATCTGTTCCTGTTCACGGGCTGACTAGCCCCAGTAGTCCCTTTCTGGGGAACTTAAGCTCAGCAACAGCTTTTCTATTAAGACAGAACCAGGATGGGGTTAAATTGTCTAACATGATGTCAAATTTCCAGACCCTTCAATTTGTCCATTTCATTATTGATATATCCTTCTCAATTTTCATATACAGCTTTTCCATTTTGGTCATTTTCATTTAAACTCTTCCATTATAGGAATTTATAATGATAACTACTAGCTCAATGTTAATGCTCCCTTAAAAAGAACCATGGCAAGTAGCATGTAGTGTAACAAGCTCCCTGTGCCACTCTGCTGTGAGGAGGGGAGGACAGATCCTATGATGACAGATAACAAATGAAACTCTAGGGAACAAAGGAGAGGTGAGGAGAGCAGCAGGCTGTTGTTCGCTATCCTACGCTTACTCCTGGTAATCTCAAAGTTGTCTTATTAAAATTTTGTGTGTTCTTGGCTGGCTGATATGACCACAGGTACACATATTTTCAGGAGGCACCTCTGTTTTAAAGTTTAAGTGGGGTGTGATGGGGGTGATGCGGTCACCAAGGGTAAGCTGCCTTCTGGATGGTCAGTAATTCCCTCCAAATTTTTAAACTACGACGTCTTGTTTTCTATTTCTCTGAGTTTTTCAGTTTAAAGTGCTGAGTTGTGTATCGAAAGTGAAGTAACTTTTGCTGCAGAGTAATTTGTATTACTTTTTCAATACTGATTATAGTTTTCAAATAACTTGCCAGACACTGGAGCCAGCAGTGCTTGAGACTGCTCGTGCAGGTCTGGGCAGGGCCTGTGATAGGACCCATAGGAGTGTCTCCTGATATAGGCGACAAAAGAAATGCCACAGATGATCTGTTAAAATCATTGTTGAGAAATAATAACTAGTAACTCGTCGTCATGGTTACAATAATAAATTAAAGCTGCAAGCAGCATTATGCTGGCCCTCACCCTGTCGCAAACAGAGCCAATGCCAGGAGGCCACTTGATGCCACCAACTTGCATTATGTTCCTGTATATCAAGTCAATGTATAATGGAGTTATCACAACTTCCTGTTTCAAAATTTGCCATTTCAATGAAAAATCTGAACAATTATAATGTCAATATGATCAATTCTCTAGGAGAGAGTTTGTTAAAGTATGACTTCCTGTTTCATGAAACATAAAAATTGGCCCCACCACCAGAGGCAGACTATTCAGCAAAAACTTACAATTTTGAAAGTGAAGCATAATCAATGAGTTAAGCATCTTCTGACCAAGTTTGGGGCAGATTGGACAAAATATAAAAGTGAGATAGTGAGTGAGAATAACGTCCCGTTGCAAAATTTGCTGGGCCACAAGAACCACTCACAATTTTTTGCAATTGAGTACATCAAGGTTTGAAGTATTTTGTGACCAAGTTTGAGGTGGTTATTGTGAACCTGCTAGGAGGAGTACAGCAAAAAGTAAAACATGATATTTTGTGTTGCCATTGGGTGGTGCTATGAGTATTACTGAACATGGGCATGGAAATGTCTTCAGGCCAGGACTCTAATCAAACATAAAAAGTTTGGGGCAGATTGGACAATGTGTGCTAGAGTTAAAACAACTTTTACAAAGAAATTCACTGCGCTGCCATGGGCAGGCCGTTCCACAAAAACTCACAGTTTTCACAGTTAGGCATAATCAAGTTCTTAAGCATTTCCTGACCAAGTTTGGCGTGGCTGTCATCAACCTGCTGGGAGGAGCACATCAAATTGTAAAACATGAAATTTCCTGTCACTACAAGGGGGCGTTATGATAATTGTTTATTATTATATTGGCATGTAGATGTGTTCAGGCCAGTTTGGGGCAGTTTGGACGAATGCTGTTGGAGTTATAGCAAGTTGATTTTTCATAGCAAAACCTGACTGAGGCAGATTGGATAAAGTATAATGGAGCTACCACAACTTCCTCTTTCGAAATTTGCCATACAATATAACATCGCAAATGTCTTAAGATGAGACTGACAAAATATGATGTTGATTTCATAAATTCTCTAGGATGAGTTCGTTAAAGTACGTGACCCTTAAATTGCAAATAAAATTCCTCTTGGGTGTAGGCTATGGGAGGCTTTTTTGTACATATTGGCATATTTCATGTGCCTACCAATTTTTTTGTATGTAGAAAATTGTAGAAAAAGTTTTGTTGGGTTGGATTGGTTGTAGGGGGCACTATCAAGCTCTTTTGCCACACCCATGTGCAAGACCCATGAAATACGTTTATTTTCACCAGGCCTGATGCATGTGCAAAGTTTAATGACTTTTTATGCATGGGAGGCCCTCAAAAAGGTAATTCATTTCGGTGCTTGGGCCATAACAAGCGATACTGGAATAGATAAAAGAAACAACACTGTCGACTGGAAACAGGAAATGAACAGTGGGCTCTTGTATTAAAAGTCCAATGTTTTGTCAAATCCATCCACCTGACCTCCCCCCTATGTTGCTATATAACAGTCACCTGCCTCCTTTGCTCCCTTCATAACTACTACAGACATTAGAGGGCTTTTTCACTTCAGTGTGAACATGTTGTAGCGTTAACGCCATAATTTATTATTTACTCTTGT